ATAAAAAAAAAAATGATTTTTTAGAAAAAATTTTGTTCTTTTTTTACTTTTTGACAATGGAAACAAATTTTATAACCAATTGTGGAAAAAATTATCACTTTCATGGACAATTTTTATATAAAATGAAGTCAAACAAACTCAAAATTTAAAAAATTTTCAGGTGGAAAATTATAACAATCAAATACACTTAATTTTCAATTCCCTAGAAAACAATTTCTAAACAATTACTTTCCCTAAAATTCATTTTCTTTTCACCTATTTTTCACAATTGCAATTACACGGACCCTAAATAAAACCATAAGAAAAAAGAAAGAATAAGGAAAGTACCAATGGGCCCGACTCCCCAATTAGAATTTCTTATTTCTCATGCTTTTAAATAAAGAAAAGGGAAATTGCGTTTCGACGGCTTCTTTACCATTGAATATATTTTTAAAGGGAGTTGTGTCCTGGATCATTTCACTATGTGCTTGTTCTTCATTAAATTAAAAAAAAAAAAAAAAAATTTCTTACTTCTTATCAATTACATTTTTCAATAAAATAATGTTACACATAAATTTAGAAAAATTTCTTCTTTTTATTACACATAAATTTTAAAAAAAAATCTTCTTTTTTAATTACTTACACATTCTTAAAAAAAATGATGTTCTTCTCATTATAAATGGAAATAATGGAGCACAAAGGAGCTTTTTCTGTAATTGTGCTGTTAAAAGTAAGAAAAAAATTATAGAAATGTGATCATTTTAAGAAATATTTAAAAAACTTTTGATTATTTGATAATCAGAAGTCGAACTTTAAAATTAATTTCAAATAGGATCTTAGAAAAATTCGAAACATAAATACATGTATGATGAACATGCATAGTTGAACAACATTTCTTTCTACAAATGACATTTTCCTTATTGAGTTTGATAAACGAAACTTTTCTCTTCCTTCACAGTTAAGAATTTTCCTTTTTACTATAGCGAGCGATGCCTACCTACAGCCAATTTTCACTTTCATCTAACAAGTAGACTACGTGGGAAGATTTCCCATTTTCAGAACAAGGTTATCAATAGCCAAAAAAAATAAAAATAAATAAATAAATAAATAAATAAATAAATAAAAATATATATA